CAAGTTGTCTACTTCCTTACGAAAGGAAAATTATTCTGTTATTTTTAAAAATATTTACGAATAATTAAAAAAAAAAGAGTTTTTTGATGATTCCGTATCCATACCTTTTTTTTTAATGCTTATTAATAAAATCAATGTTCAGCGTTATCGGTCACATCCAAAACTATTGGTTTCATTTTTTTTGAATCTAACAAAAACTATCAGTGCAGTCCACAATCTGTAGGCAAAAGCAGTCCACTCTATGTATGTATTTAAAATAAAAATAGTTAATTAACATAAAAGGAAACGAAGTTGATGTGTCTATTTCAAATTTTTGTATTTTTTATTGCTGTTTTAGCATTAGCTATTTTAACTAGAGCTTAAAACACTTCATTGGCTTCAAAAATATGCAAATTGGTAATAACGACCGACAAGTTTCAAGTGCTCAAAAACAGGCGCCCATTTTCACGACTTGCCAGATGTGAATCAGAAGAAGCAAAAGTGATTTGAAATGTAAAGTGGAAACGAAAAAGGGTAGAATAAAGAGATAGGAAACAAAATTAAAGAAACCACAGTAGAGAGCCGAGTGAAAGAAAAAATGAAAAATTGAACGAGAAAAATCACAGTGACCGAAAAGTCACAAGAAAAATCACAGGTGATGAGGAACTAATGTCGTTTACCAAGGAATCAGCCAGCATTCATATTAATTGTACAAGATTCCAGGGTACCAAGATAAGCTGATGTGACTGGGTTGGAAATAATTATGACATTGTAGTAATTAAATTTATGCTCAAGATTCCAACAACGTAGCAGCAATTGATGATTTTTCGTATTCTGGATAACGGACATATCTATTGTGTTCCTTAAGTCTGAATTTTAAAGCGCGTCTAGTTAGTCTTAAGTATCATAAATCGCACTAATAAGGAATTTGGTAAATCAGTGACTATCAAAACTAATAGGATCTTTTTCAACGCGTGAAACATGTCGACATTTAGTTCCTATTTGCATATTTTAGAAGCGAATCAATTTTTTAAATCAAGTACTATGTTACTGCTTCATTTTCTAGGAATTATTTATTTAATTAACTATCAGTATTTAATTATGATGGCAATTCCGTCAGCTTTTGTGAATTGTGGTTAAAACAACCTTTCACTGTAGTTGTAATAATTTGACCACTACTGTAACTAACAAGTTTTATCGTTACCTGTCTTCTATCACAAGTCTACGCCTTCATCTCGTAAAATAAAAGGGTGATAAAGTTATCTCAAAAAGAAAAAAAAATGTCGGCCCTCAAGGCCCTTGGAGGTTCTTAGCTGCATCAATCACGTACAATTTTGCGATGTAGTGTGGAAAGAAAAAAGGAAACTCCAAATGTCGTTTTAGTTCCCACGGTTCAAGCTCCGTGTGGTGTGCAAGACAAATCTTAATTTTTAAGGGTTTGGTTTATCAGTCTGTGATGTGCATCCTAAAATCATCTGTTTAATCGATCTTATGCTTTTTTATACCACTTTTAATATCCCCGTGTGAATTAAGGGAAAGCACTGTCCGGGATGGTGCGACCTTGCTGTCATTAAGATATTCTGCCCTCGAGCTAATCATTCGAGCGCGAACGCAATTAGAGATTTCGAACACGTTTCATTAACATAGCGATTTCATTTAAGCCGTTTAGAGATAAAAATGTTATAAATTTATTTTACCGTTTAACTGAAACTTATGAATGAAAAGAATTTCTCGTTCAGATTAAGAGGGTCAGTATGAAATATCTAGATAAGGATAATTCTAGAAGCATAGAATCATATTCTGTTATCCTTCTATTTGGATGACGAGAGTGAACAAGGTTGATAAATCTAAACATATCAATGCAGACTAAAAATTCCGGTCCTTATATGTATGCAGACGGGGTTTGTCTATCTACATATGTTGAACCATTGATCATTTATATGTAGAGGACTATGCCCCCTGCTCGTTTTAACCACATTCACGAACGATTGCTTCACCAATTATTCATGTTTAATGTCGGTAAAGAAATTGTTACATCAAAATAACAAATTATTCAAGAAAAAGATAGACTGTATTAAAACAAATTTCGGGTTATAATTCCAATTATTTAGTGGTCCAATTATTGGTGGGAAAGGTTAGTTCCTAATATTACTTCACAGTTTTAAATTATTAGTTTGCTTTCATTATTAATTGCATATGCTGATTGAACCCAGCTTTACATAAAATTTATTAAAAGGAAAATACAACCTTTTTTTATCGTTTAATCATTTTAAAACAAGAACTAAACCTGTTAATTTCATTAGATATTTTTTAAAAATAATTACAATTTATAAATATTTTTTAAAAAAATATATAAAAGATGTTTTCCAAAATTTTTAAAGGAATTATTTTTCATTTTAAGGTAATTTTTGATGGAGTTCAGAAACTTTTTTTTTTGCATTTGAGGGCATTTTATAAGAATTTTTAGATCATCAACTTCTTAGCCCTGGTTATAACTTTTAATCGCACATAGAAAGAAAAAAAATTCTCGTAAAATTACCGTATTATATGGTAATGACATTTCTGGTAAAAAAAACAACATAGTTCTGTTTAATAAAACCAAAATATAAGGTATTTAAACCATTCATTTAGTAATTTTCCGTTCATATAGGAGCGAGTCACCGAAAATTCTGGTTATCAAAATTTTAGTTCTTATTTCCACGCATTTAGTAAAAGATTTAAGACTGAAAAATAAGTTAAACCACATAATAGTTTTTATGCTACTATCTAAGATATTTTGATAAAATTACCAAATTTTTTTCCAATTACCGAATTTTATCGCATATTATAAAACCATATTTTATTGTTAATTTTACCAAAATCTCTACCAAAAAGCTATTGCAAAAATCATCGAGTTTTTGTTTCTCTCACAGGAAAGAAACACGGTATATTTTACCATATTATGGTAGTTTTGACCATATTTTTCTCTCAGCCTACATAATTGAATATTTTTTTGCAAAAGAAAACAACTGTGAAATCATGGAGCTTTATACATTGCAGTTATGCAATTTTTTACAATTCTCATTTTAAATCTAACTGCTTTAAAGTTACAAATAACTAAGCCAATAATAATTTAAAACATTTACCTCCACTTTTTAACAATAAATACAATTTCACCATATTCTTGTAATTTTAACCATACGTTTTTTCTCAGTGCATAGCAATGGCTTACGAACAGATATAAAGTTTGCGAGATCATTTCGAGAAAGAAAAGTGAACAATCTGGTTATCAAACCAAGTACTTGAATTTACCATTACGAATAACACATTCAGTGTAAATGACACACATGCCACTGCTAACTTCGATTTATTTGGCTTTCCTTTTTATTCTCGATTACTATTGTGTTGACTAACTTAGAACCATCACGTACATTCCATCACGATGCAAACGATACAATTTTATCGTTTTTTTTCTCTTCAACTCCACCGTTTAGTTTTTTCATTGTTTGCAAATAATGGAAGTAGCTGGAGATAAAAAGCCTTTACAATGATCATGCCCGTGTTGTAACTCTCACGAAAACATTATAAGTTTATATTCTTTGCGTGCGTGAAAAAGTTATTCTTTCATCGTTAGCATTTACATTTGATAAATTCCAGAAATGATTTTATTCTGAACCTCAACTCGTCATTAGTTAGATAAAATGGTTTTAAAACAGGAGTGTCCGTTCTCTCTCTGTCTCTCAAGGGTTTTGAATCTCATTGATGGAAGAGAAATATGTTTCTCTTTGCTATATGTATCGTAAAATTATATTTTATGAAAGAATTTTTACAGAATTTGTACTAAATTAACGCATACCCATGTATTCCAACATTTGAGATTTGTTCGAAATATTATTCAAATGGAAGAGAACTAAAACAAGAGTTTTTAAACTAAATAGAATTCTTATCCATCTATACATAAAAATAAAATCTAATGATATTGTCACAGTTTTCCTACATTAATACATATATATATATATATATATATATATATATATA